GTTTGGCAGGCTTAGACTGTATCAATTCAACAGTCAATTCAAATCACAATGCTGGTTCAGTTTCTCCAAACACACCAGGTCCATCAAAGGCATTTACAGAGCAAATAATATCACCATCAAAGCAACAGCAATTTCAAAATCATGAAGTTTCAATGGAAGTAGAAGAAACTAATGATAAGCAGTGTAGCAGTTCTGGAGTGGATGTAGATTCAGGAATTGAAAATATGGAAGTGGAAGAATCTGATAGAAAGGATCCAAAGCCAAGATCACGTGTAGGTATATGTGTAATTTTGCAACTATAAGTATATTTAACTTTTTATTATCATATTTCTCTATTCTTCAGACAACAAGTTCCAGTACAGAGGTAACTACAGAACAGATACACGCAGTCATCTCGCGTGTACTGTGCATATCATGGAAAGAACCTACAGAGGGTTGTATATTTTTACCACAAACTGCAGCATACGCATTGACGGCAAAACTTGTTGACGCTGCGGAAATTATCAATCAAGCATTAATGGAGGTTTTATGCATGTTTGTGAGAGACGAAGATCCTCTAAAGGAAATTAACGTAGACACATCTTCAGATCGAGAGGACAGCCCTAATAGTCAAGCAAGCCCATTGTTAAGCCCGGTCGCGACGTTTTGCCGTTGTGACATTTGCTGCAAATCAACGCAACCTAAGAGTCTCACTTATCTGCTAGATTGTTATTCAAGGGTGGCGGTAGAAGAACGAAATCACCCAAAGGTATCATCGATCGATCGATTTTTAATAACGAAAAGTATCTGCCTTGGTACATAATACGATCATTTTCTTTGTAACAGAAGTCAAGTACACCACCGTTATCCGATGTGCTGACTACTCTAAGGGCACAGTGCGTACAATATTCCAGTCTTGTGCTACAAGGTCTAGTCGGCATTTCTCGGTCTTCGACAACTTACCAGTTATCCATGAAAAACATGACGCCTCTTTTATACCCGGTACTCTCACAGAGCTTACCACGTGGGTATTTAGACGAACTTGTTGCAAGAACGCATACAAACACGGCTGTATTCGAGAGAATCTTCACTCCATTGTTGCAAGGCTTGTACTTGTCGGTACAACAGGCCAGTTTGGTCAGAAACACGCATCGAAGACCGATCGAGGCGTTAGAAGAGTTAATAGAAATTCGTTGCGGACCAAGCGGTAATGTACGCCCCTTGTGCCGTTTAATCATTCGTCAACAACAATTTTTTCCCGGCATCTACACAGACGCGATAGGCAGGGAGGTTATAACAACGTCTCTCCTTGGACCTTTTCTCTCCATCTCCGTATTCGCTGAGGATCAACCAAATGTGGCTGAGAAGTTTTTTAGCGGCAATCCGTTCTATGATAAATCGATGAATTTAACATTACAACAAGAACTGGAAAGTACCAGAACGTCGCTGCATAAGATATTTCACGCGCTACTCGCAAATAGTAACTGCCGTAAATCTGTATTAACCTACATAGCGACGTTGGTATGTTTTAACGAGAAACGTGCTCAACTACAAACGGAGGAGTCCTCTTTGGCCGGGGACGGATTCATGTTGAATCTGTTGTCAGTGTTGCAAATGCTCTCAGTGAAAATCAAACTGGATACAGTAGATCCTTTATATCCGTTTCATCCTTCTGGTTATGTGCGGATTACAGACGACACAAAGCTGAAACTTACGTACCAAGAGGAAAGGGATTGGTTAAGACATTTAGAAAGGACGCACGTGTGGGTCGAGCCAAAGTTTCCGACACATTGTTGGTTCCTTACATTACATTGTCACCATTTAGCGTTGTTACCGGCTTTACAGAAATACCAGAGAAAGCTGAGGACTTTACGCGACGTGCAGAAAATGCTCGACGATCTACAAGACACCGAGCCGCAATGGAAAGACAGTCCTTTCGCTGGTCGTAACAAAGAATTGATAAAACGTTGCACGGAACAATTGAAACAACTCGGTAAATCAAAATCATGCGCGGACGCTGGATTAATCGACCCTGTCTTGTTAAGAAGGTGTTTGCACTTTTACATTTCTGTGGCGGAGGTATTGCTCAGTCTATTGACGCAAACCCCGTTAGGGAATCCCCTTCCCGACCTTCCTTTGCCTCAAGAGGTGCCGCAAAAATTCAGGGCACTACCAGAATGGTATGTCGAAGATATTGCAGAATTTTTGTTATTTACCCTTCAGTAAGTACTGTTTTACTGAACATCAAGACGTGACACATAAATTTGCACACCATATACTGTTATCACATTCTTTATTTGTCCATAGATTCTGTCCTGACGTGATAGTGAACAATATGGATAATTCCCTCATCACGTGGTTACTTGTCGTAGTATGTACACCGCATTGTATACGAAATCCATATTTAATAGCAAAAATTATCGAAGTGCTATTCGTGATAAATTCCAGTGTTCAGGTAAGTCGCGTTTATAATAAAAAAAGGAATATAATAACGAGTTAATTTCCTTTTGAACCGTGTCCAATTAATTCTAGGGACGAACGGAATCGCTCCATGATCAAGTAATGGCGCATCCAATATCGAAAACATTGTTGGCATCGTATTTAATGAAGTTCTACACGGACGTCGAGACGACCGGCTCTAGTTCAGAATTCTACGATAAATTCTCAATTCGTTATCATATTAGTTTAATACTAAAATCCATGTGGGATAGTCCAGTGCACCGGGAGTCGATCATCAATGAGAGCAATAATGGGAAGCAATTTGTGAAATTTATAAACATGTTAATGAACGACACCACGTTCTTACTCGACGAAAGTTTAGAATCGTTGAAGCGTATCCATGAAATCCAGGAGTTAGCGTCCGATCTTAAAGCGGTGGCGGCACTATCCCGTGAACAACAGCACTCGCGAATGAGGCAATTGGCGGCAGATGAAAGACAGGCCAGGTCGTATCTCACTTTAGCTAAGGAGACTGTAGCCATGTTTCATTATTTAACAGTAGACATCACGGAACCGTTCTTACGGCCAGAATTAGTCGAACGATTATGTGCCATGTTAAATTTTAACCTCAAACAGTTATGCGGTCCTAAATGTAAAAACCTGAAAGTACGAGCACCTCAAAAGTACGGATGGGATCCGAGAGCTTTACTTAGTCAATTGGTCGATATATATCTACATCTCGATTGCGATAATTTCGCCGCTGCTTTAGCTGCCGACGAAGTAAGTTTTTTAATATATAGGTAAAATGAACAGTAAAGGAGTCTTATTGTAATAAACTAACACAATATGATTGTAGCGTTCTTTCTGCAAGGAATTATTCAATGACGCTGCTAATAGGTTAGAAAGATCAGTAATTAAATCGACAGCAGAGATCGAGAGATTTATAGCGCTCGCAGAACGTGCTGCAATCATTGCCAGGGATAATCGTGCACGCGATGAGGAATATGGTGACGCGCCAGAGGAATTTAAAGACCCGCTTATGGACACTCTTATGGAAGAACCGGTTAAACTTCCATCGGGTATTGTTATGGATAAACCAGTTATTATTAGACACCTTCTCAATAGCGCTACGGATCCTTTCAGTCGGCAACCGCTCAGTGAAGATATGCTTACACCAAGTGAGTAAATTAAATCTTTTTACATTTATGAACAATTTTTTCCAAAGAACACGTTCATTAAACTTCTCAAAATATTTTCAGTGGTCGATTTGAAAGAAAGGATATCGATATGGAAACAACAAAAGAAAAAATCGACGAATATATAAATTGTGATTCTAATGCATGAACCATTTTCACAGGAAACATCACGATATTGCGTAGCTGATGTCGTTACTACACCGATACATTGTACCGGCCCATAGATGTATCACTCTGTGTGGTAAATGAATAATAGTGCAATGATCTCGCTAATGTGCAAATATTGCACTCAATAAATTTACGGTTTTTATACATTAAAACGTTAAACAGAGACTGCAGCTAGGTAACTGCCAACATTACTCGAAGAAAAAAAAAAGAAAATACTTTTAAAGAACTTGTAAATAATTACTGGCTGATTCCAGTCAGTACCCACAGAAATTAAACTCTTATTTACAAACTTAGCACTTGTTCCTTTGTATGTTATAAATACACGAGACTGCGAGTGAAAAGTTGAAGAAAAAAAAGAAAACAAAAAATGATTAATCTTAAGAATAGTAAGTTCAGTGATATAGAATTGGAAACATTAACACTCATCCTCAACCTTCCATTTGGAACCTGATAATTTACAAACGGATAGGGCAAACAAAAAGCGAAACATTATTTGATGGAAAATTTATGTGAAAGATTTGTATGAAATATGCGAAACAAAGTTGTTATTATAAAGTCTCGTAGAAGTTAACATGTGACGTGTTGCACGGAAAAGATAATTTGCAGCGATTATGATACTTTCTGAAGATGTACATGGTAAATGTATCATTCATATTCGTTCAATAAATTTCATGAGCAAAGACATGTGTCCATATGTATATAACAATATGTTATTTGAAACAATTCCATCTGACGAAGTATTATTTTATTTCTGCAATGTGGAACTTATTAAGTGGTTATTATAAGCCTCACTTTGATTTATGTAATTATACTTTCTTCATTCTGAATTTATCAATTTCCCTCCATTAAAATTCATGATATAAATATTTTCAATTAATTATTTTTATATCAATTAAAAGTTCTTTTTTATAAGTTATATAATTGATGTTACATACATTTATCATTAAATAATGTTTAAGGCCATTTCAATTTTTCAATATGATGCATTTGGTAATAATTATAATTACAGAACATACAACATTTTGCATTAGTTAAGACATTATTAAGTAATATAAAAATAAAGTTAAGATTTATATAATATAAAAGTGAATATTATTCACTGCTACTAATGGGCAGAAAACAAATGTTATTTGTTATACTCTTATATCATTATTATCACAAAATATTTTTAAAATGTTATACTTTTGTTACATGTAATATTCATCAATTTTTTTATACTATAGAGGAACTAAAAGAGAGATTTAAAAGTGATGATATATTAAGCATTGTCAAATAAAACAACTATCATTGTAATGCAACGTAAACTAAAAATTCTAGGTCCCTTATATACTAAACATTATTTGCAACAACTGATTCACACCACATTTGTAAATACATAAATTAATGTAAATCAGTATTAATTGGACATCCTCTACCTAATCCAATTAGTCTTAAATTATTACTGTTCCAAGTAACTTTTCCTCTTCCAATTCCCATTGAACTAACTATTGACTCTACATCTTCAACATAAGATTCTTCATCTAGATCTCTTAACATTGCTTCAGAAAAACCACGAGGACCTCTTATTGCAGTAATTTCATCAATATTACGTTTAAAACTGAAATTATATAATGAAATTAAAAAAAGGCAAATTGTTAGAAATTCATGTCACATATAAGAACAAAACATTCATTACTACCTAAAATTATCAGATACTTTAGATGTTTCTACATTATTACATGAAAAATAATCATCAGTCAAGATTGTTGAGTTAAAATCAATTTCTGAGTCCCAATTTTCTGCACAATTTATTGTACTTGAAATCTCTGAATGCGATACAAAATTTGTTACACCATGATTTCTTGGTTCTATAAAACAAAATGGTTCTAATCATACAAAACAAAAAATATTTGAAGCAAAATATCTAACTTGAAAAGACCTGTATAAATTTCTGATTCCAATACACTACGTGTAGGACATGTAATAATATGTTCTTCTAGTTCTGTTTTAAACAAACGATGAGTGGCATTGAATGGGCACATAACTTTATAATGTTTATTTTAATTATACACAATAATTTGTCGAAATTAATCCACTTACTTTTTCACATTTCACAATGTGCTTTTGCAGACGAGACTTTACAATTAAATGACGTTCGTCATAAGGACATGTCATAACTGTATCAGCGAGTTTAAGACATTTATGCATTTTAATTTGATTAAAAAAACTGAATCTATTTATGAATAAAAACGAATTTTCCTATTTTTTAGTAACCACTGTGTCCATACACTCACTTTTACAATCGAACTTTTGCACTTCTCGATATATCGATTAAAATCGATTATTGATTTTATTATATATCGATAATCGCGATTGCGTAACTTGATACTTTTAAAGCAATAAATATTAAATTATAAATTATTTATGTATATTTTTTCAAATTGTAT